ATTTCAATTCAATTATGTCCTTATTCAGCTCCAGTTTGCCGTATGGTAATGGCGCGAGAGGATCCATCACCCTATTACGTCCCGTGGGTATCGTAAGAGGATACTATGGGAAAAGCCAGCAGTATCTCATGGCTTCCGATAGTTGACGGTATTAATACATTGTATATGCAAGACTTAAAATCCCAATTCAGTAAAATAAAAAAAATCGATGATACACTATAGCCTAGATTTTCACGAGAGTACCCCTGGAGTTACTTCAAATTATAGAATAAAACTTATAAGCTTATAACAAATGGTAAAATTAAAAATTTTGTACGATCGAATTCAATACGACCGCATAAATGTATTCAAAGTCAATTAAATACGTATTATACAACATGTAACAAAAACCCTGTGGTTCCCGTTAAGTGTGCTATCAGAATCAGTATCCAAGCTTATAGAAATAATTTTTTTTTCAAAAAAACGCATTTAAAAAAATTAATTTTACTGAAAAAAAATTAATTTGCAAATTGTATGTGGTTTTATTCCCTCTAACTCACACGAGTATCGGTAATGCGGGGTCTTTGACAATCCTCTTACTCCTCGGCAAATGCAGATATAATAAAACCACATACAATTTGCAAATTATTTTTTTTCATTAAAATATTTTTAATGTGTTTTTTTAAGTATTTCTATATGCTTGGATACTGATTCTGATAACGCAGTTAACGGGAACCACAGGGTTTTTATTACATGTTGTATAAGAGTGACTCAAAAACTCGTGATCAGATGTTAATCAAACTCATATGAGACTACACGAAATGCAACAGCTTTCAAATAAAAAAAAGAATCATCAAAATCGGTTTACCCAAAAAAAGTTCTCAGGTAATACACATAAAAAATCATACAGTCGAATTCAGTACCTCCTCTTTTTTGAAGTCGGTTGAAAATAATCAATCAAATCGGTTAACAATTGGCAAGGATATCACGTAACGTAAATAAAAAAACATACAGACAAATTGCGCACTTGTTTTAAACTCACCTAATCATGAAGTTAAACTTAAATGTGTAAAATGCTTATTTTAGTTTAATTTAATAATTCTGTCTGCAATAAAGAAACGAACATAAAGACGGAACTGTATTATACCTGGCTTAAGGTAAGCTTTATAGACGTTATTACAGCTTTAGCTGAGATAAACCATTCATCACTTTTATATTTTGAAGTTTTTTGTTAAAAATTAAATAATAAAACTATTTAAAAATATTGATTTACCATTTGTTTTGAATACTTCCCGATTTTTTTTTAAATTGAAATGACATGATCCTAAGTTATAAGGATCCGTAAGATCAGGAAAAGGATCTTATCCTGCGGTAAAATATGGCTAGTTGTACACTAAACGACTAGAAATACAAAAATATCATGCGCTTCAAAAATATAGGACGTATAATAAAAACAAGCAACTTTCAAAAGATGTCTTACCAGGTTTACAAAGGTGGAAAAAACTTTTAACCAAAAATTCTTTTAGTATAACTAAATTTTATGAGATATTTACAGACGCGTGCTTGACATGTTGAGATGCTTGTTGTAATAATATTCGTGTTGGCAGAGGGTGGAAATACAATGAACTCGACTGTCATATCAATTACCCAGAATTACATATACATATACATAAATACTCACACCTGTCACCCAGAGGGGTAAGCAGAGACTACAGACTTCCATTTGGCACGATCCTGAGACACCTCTCTCGCCTCCTTCACATGCATACACCTATGCATACATGCTCGTCGGTTAAGGGTACTCCTAATTTTGCCCGTTTTCAATAAATCGCCAATTTGGTCGATAAATTTTCGCCTAGGACGTCCCTTTCCGACTCTGCCATTCACTTCTGTAACATAAATTTTCTTTCTCACTCTTTCCTCATTCATTCTTTCTACATGACCAAACCACCGAAGCCTTCCTTTCTTAATCCTGGTCACAACATCATCTTGCAAGCCACACTCTTCTCTTATTACACAATTACCCAGAATTACTAGCCATATTTCTAGGTATTAAATGTTTTGTTAGGGATATATCGGATTGTAATATTTTGTTGTGCGTAGATAATACAACAGCTATAAGTTAAATCAACCGAATAGAATGAATCCAAATTCCCCCATTTGAACGAGTTATCTCGATCAATATGGCAATGGTGCGAGAAGCGAAACATTTGGCTAAGATCTTTCATAAATAGTAAAGAAAATGAAGAAGCAGACCAAGAATCAAGGAAACTAAAACTAGATACAGAATGAGACCTAAGTGATAACGCTTATAAAGAGATCATACAAAAGTTGGGGGAACAAGAAATAGATCCTTTCGCTTCTCGTGCCAATGCTAAATACACGACCTATGTGTCTTGGAGACCGGATCCAGATGCCTTATTAGTAGATGCCTTCACTATTGATTGGAGATACAAATATTTCTTTGCATTTTCACCTTTTTTTTTAATAATCAAATGTCTGGCCAAAATCATAAGCGATAAAGCCGCCGAAGGCATTTTGGTCTTTCCTTATTGGCCATCCCAGCCTTGGTACCCAATGTTAAATAACTTACTCAGATCAGATATAATGTTTTTTTCAAATTTCACAGAGATCTCTTACGGTCTTCTTCTAGAACTCCTCATCACCTGCACAAACAACTTACCCTGGGTACAGAGAGGCTCTCAGGGTCGCATTTATAAGAAGAGGTACACCGTCACCCGCTCTTCACGTGATGGTGGCATCGCTTTCAAAGAATACAATACTTCAGTATAGCTACAAACAACAATTACTAACAAATTTGTATGAATTTTTTAATCTGAAATAAACGTTTTATTATTATTATTGTGGGGTATCTATATAGTTTTCTCGTCTGGTTGGGTTCTATAAATATATAATTATAAATGAAAATGAAAAGATAAATATACATAAATATCAATAACATAAAATAAATATATAAATACATAAATAAATAAAACCCCAACCAGATGGAGGCCCTCGGCAGGGGAGACCAAACGGCTGAGGATTAGGGGTAAAGGGAAAGAAACCGGCGGACGGTGCGGGCGGTATCGAGGAGCACCGCCTTCTGCATTTGAGCCCGGAGCGGTCCGCCACGTAGTCCCAGTCGCCTCAGATGACCCGAGAGGCTGACTGGGATTAGCCCGTTTGCAGAGACGACTACAGGAATAATTTCGGTCAGCAGACCACCCCACATGTCGGTTACCTCGTGAGCCAGGTCCAGATATTTTGTTTGCTTGTCTGTTTCGGCTTTCACGAGGTTCTCGTCATACGGAATGATAATGTCGACCAAAAATATCCTTGACTGTGCCCGGTCCATCAGCACAATATCAGGCTTATTCGCAAAAATAGTCCTGTCTGTGATGATGGCCCGGTCCCAATAAAGCCTGGCGCAATCATTTTCGAGCACGGCTTCCGGCAAGTACTTGTAATACGGCATTTTCCGATCCACGAGACCGTATTTCAGAGCGAGCTCCCTGGTAAAGAATTCTGGCTACTAGGTTGTGCCTGTGCAAGTACTCAGAGTTAGAAAGCGCCGAACAACCGGAGATGACATGCCTAAGTGACTCACCGGGATGGCGACAAGCTCGACAGATGTCCACGGTGCCATCCTTTAGGATGTATCTCCGATAGTTGTTGGTCTTAATAACCTGATTCTGTATTGCACAGATAAAACCCTCGGTTTCCCCGAAGAGATCACCAAAGCGTAGCCAGTGGAGGGAGGCTACTGTGTCTACGAAAGGCTCATGTAGAGCCTTGTAGAACCTCCCGTGGAGCTCCTTCTTCTTCCATACGGTCTCCCGGTCGGAAATGCTAAGCACTGCTGGGTCCTGCAATTGCTCGTTGGCTAAGGATAGAGGGGTAAGCCCTTTATCACTAGAAATGACGTCATTATAGAATGGGTCATTCGATCTCGCCAGGAAGTAATCACGGAGGCTGCACACTTCGCGATTATGCATGGTGAGCGCGCTCAGAAAACCACGTCCACCATGCTTTCGCGGCAAGTACAGCCTCATTACCGACGATCTCGGATGATGCATCCTATGGGACGCCATGGTAGTGCAGACTTTTCTATCCAGGGCGTTAAGTTCAGTCTGGGTCCACCTGAGTATGCCAAAGGTATACATGAGGACAGGCATGACCCAACCGTTATATGCGTGTGTCTTATTCACACCGGATAAAAAGCTGTTAAGCACTTTGGTCAATCGTGCATAAAATACGTCGCAAACTGACTGTTTCATACCAGCCTCATCGATACCGATGTTCTGTGACATACCCAGGTATCGGTATGTTTCAGCCTCGGAAAGGGTCCTTAAGTTGACGGGCATAGATAAGTCTATGCCCTCAGAGTTAGCAACCCTTCCCCTTTCAACATGGAGGACCGCACACTTATCCGTTCCCAGCTCCATTCCAATAGAACTGCTAAATTCACAAGTGATTTTTAGCAATTCCATAAGATGGGAGCGACTGGAGGCGAATAACTTGAGGTCATCCATATAGAAAAGGTGGGTCACTTTTGTACCTCGTTTCCGAAGCTGAAATCCCCTCCCGGAGCCCTCCAGTAAAGTACTTAGAGGGTTCAGGGAGAGGCAAAACCAGATTGGATTCAGACAATCGCCCTGGAAGATACCCCCTTCTTATCCTTATGTGGTTCTCCGCAACCATCATCCGCTCGCCCAGATAGCAAAGGATCGTATTCCATTGCCCCATACACTGCTCGAGGAAGTCTCCAACTGTAAAGTCAATTTTGTACAGCTGGAGGACTCTCTTTAGCCATGTATGGGGCACCGAGTCGAATGCCTTTCTGTAGTCTATCCAGGCGGTGGAGAAATTCCGACGGTTTCGTTTCACCACTTTGCCAATGACCGCGTCAATGAGGAGTGGTTCCTTGGTTCCACGACCACCGCCCGGGCATCCATTTTGAGCGCGTGACATCACCTGATTTAGCTCCAGGTGACGAGTGATTCTCGCGCTCAAAATGGATATCAGTGTCTTATATAGGTGGGTAGACACGTGATGGGGCGGTATTGGTTCAGGTCTGTGGTATCCTGATCTTTAGGAATCAAGTGAGTTATTCCAGTAGTGAAGAGGCTCGGGAGCGACTTCTGATCGAGAGCCTCTTGAAACTGTCGGGCGAGCACAGCGTGACACACTACGAACCCCTTCAGCCAGTAATGATGCAGCCCGTCGAGCCCCGGACTTTTCCAGTTCGGGGCTCTTCGGACCGCCTCAGCCACGTCTTCAGGCGTTATGGTGACGGGGTCCATAGGCGTAACACTTGCACTCTGGCTCGCCACAACTTCCATCCAAGGGCCCTCGCTGTGGTTTACGGGCTCTGACCACAGGCCACGCCAAAATGCGACAGTGTCGGCCTGATCCGGTCCTGGGCCCGCTCCACATACCTCTGGTCGCTCCAATGATTTATAGAGCCTCTTCTGATCACTCTGGAAGAGACGATTCTGGTTGAACCGCCTTGACCTCTCGCTAAATCGTCGAATCCGCTTCCCCCAAGCAGCGATTTTTTGCTTCAGGTCACCTATGCGCTCCGTTAGTTTTTGCGTGATATCCGGTTGGAACAAACTGATATTTGTCCCAGCAAACGCCATCCTAACAGTGCGCATAATCCTCGGTCTATTATTACCCGACCTGAAGCTTGTCAGTCTGCCGATAAGGGCCCTTGCCTTTGAGATACGGTCCTCAATTCTTTTTCTCCAGGCTGGGATGGCGCTACTTTTTTGAGTAGCACGTCCAGCCACGGGAAGTTTGGCGCCAATAATACGGCATACTGCCAGTGCGGCGCCAAAAAGAATTGAATCCGTCTCGCAAAGGTCCCGGCTGGCTTCCAAATAGGTCACCAGCATTGGGTTAAGAGCCCGCACGACAGCCCGATTTCGCTTGCTAAGGGGTATGCGGGGAAGTCGCGGTCGATTTTCGAGAGGCATGCTGCGCGTTTCCAGCATCGACTCTTCCAATACGCTCCCCATTTTCTCTAGTTCGTGGAAGACTATTCCATCATCGTCTGAATTAGCCACAAATGGAATGTTGACGGCAGCATCCACATATGCAGTTTGTTGCGCATCTAGTGGCGCCGCATTCCCAGCCGTAGCATTTCCATTCGATGAAGGAATAGCCTCACGTCGTAGTCGCTTGAGTTCGGCGTCACCAAATATGTTGGAGCGCAGGATGTACCTAACTCGGTCTGCCAGGTTTTGCTCAGTGACGGATAGAGATGGCTCCAGCTCTGCAAAAAAGCGATGCATCCGAGCCCGAAACGCCAAACATCCAGTTTCTTCCCCTTTTGCCCTAAAATACGCCCGCAGTGCGTTTTCATTCGTTGATTTAGACCAACGCATGCGACGTGCTCCACCAGCGGCGGGTGCCGCTTGGTGAGTCCGAGAAGATTCAGCCGACACCAAGCCTTCTGGTGGGGATGATGGATGCGGGGGGCTGCTAGGTGGTCTTGCAACACCAAGCACTCGGCTGGCGGCCCGCATGCTGTCGCGTCCAGCGCCAGCTCCAGACGCGCCCTGGCGACCTCCAGGCAGCGGCCCTTTGCGCACTATCTTTTTTTCCATCATCCATAATATGGGCGTCCATTAACGGGAGACGCCCAGGCCCGGCACCGTATCGTGGACGGCCATAAGCACAAACGGGCCTTTGCACCCTGAATTCTGCCGAGGCACGGCGCTCACACCTCTCGCAAGGCGCTGACTGACTGCGTTGACGTAGCAGTTTTGTCACTTAACTGTTACGTCAGCGGGCGATGGAGTCGTCAATTCCCTACGCCATATTATTATTATTATTGTTATATCGTCTCGTTGCCTGTGGTGGCAATTTTGTCACAAAAATAATTTAGATCCTTACGCAAATTCTGTACCGTCACTGCTGCTATTTTTATCGGAGCAATTTAATAATGGGACCGCTTACAGTTGGCTCAATAACCACAGGTCAGCCATATCATTAATTCTAGGAGACTGTGTAGGTTCTAAAGATAGAAATAGATAGATCGACAGGTATACTTCAAAACCTAAAAACGAGATTGTACTACCAGTACTTGTTGCCAGTGACTTATGTATCTGAGACGTGGTCCTTCACTGCTGGCCGTATAAGAACGCTCAAGATCGCTAAGCGAGATATGGAGAGAGCTATACTCGGGGTTTATACACTAAAATAATTGATATAGATATATAGAAATAGATAAACTTATAAATGAGGATATCCGCAGTAGAATCAGTGTGACCGACATATTTCAACGGACTAGTAAGCTGAAGGGGCAATGGGCCGGTCATGTAGCTCGAAGAACCGACAAGCGATGGGGAAAAAAGGTTCTCTGGTGGCTGCATTGTACCGGTAGGCGTAAGTGTAGGGCGAACCCCCACTAGATGTAATGACGGCCTGGTAAAACATTCAGGAAGTCAATGGATGCAGGTGGCTCAGGACCGTGTTTTGTGGCATTCGTTAGGGGAGGCATATGTTAAACAGTGGACTTGTGAAGGGCTGTAATAATGATGAAAATAATGCTTAATATAAATTATATTCTATGAAGAGTTTATTTTCTTATTATCATTGCTATAAGTGATTTGATGTGCCATGAGTAGAAAATTATGTTGTAATGTAAAACTTCATACTTTTTAAATAAAAATAAATGTAATTTGAAATAAACATAAATATCCTACATCGACTTTTTATTTAGATTAACTAAATAATTAAAATAGAATTGTCGAACTATATGAGTGAACTAGTTCATTATTTATAGGACATCAATCTAATTTGAGCGCTTCCAATGGCGACCAACTATAACCAAGACTAATATCCACACATTTAAGTCAAAGCGACTTAGCACAGACTCTTCAAAATATCGTAATAATCTACTAAAGATTGTTTAGAATCGTGACGAATATATCCTAGTAATTTTATGAAGGGCGAACCATACTGTGAGTTAAAGTTTCAGTGGCGCCATCTAGTGAAAGAATTAGAAATATGAAAGATTATAAAATACTACTTTTAATATTTAGGGAAGATATATTTAGAAATAACAATTCACCATTTTTTTTACAAACAGATTTTTAGTAAACGGTTACAGGTCTTTCGTTTATGAGCTAGTAACAGAATCAGAATCAGAATCAGAATATTTTTATTGCCAATAAACTGTGTATGTACAATTTGCGGGTGACATTGCAATTAAATGTTACACGGTTTACCCATATCGGGTATGCAATAATTAGAAAACAAAACTTAATTTAAATTATTTGGTATTAAAATATTCATCTAAATTATAAAAAAACATTAGTATGCAATAATTAAAAAAAACAAAACTTAATTTAAATTATTTGGTATTAAAATATTCATCTAAATTATAAAAAACATTATGTGTTAACCATTTTTTTAGTTGTTTTTTAAATTTTGGCAAATCCATGGCTTTTATATGAGGTGGCAGATGATTAAATATTTTAATACCTGTGCAAAAGGTGCTCTTATAATACATATAATTATTTATTCTAGGTGTATATAAATTATACTTATATTTAGTGCGTATTGGGCGTGAATTCCCGTTAGATTTAATCTGAAAATAGTTGCCATTCTGTTTGATAAAAAGTGATATTTCTAAAATATAAATATTAGTGAGAGTGAAAATGCCTTTTTCTTCGAATACATTTCTTAGAGTTTCATCTGAGTACATATTATAAATGATTCGCAGACATCGTTTTTGCAGAATAAATGTTGACTGCACGTTTGTAGAATTACCCCAGAAAATAATACCGTAAACCAATAGAGGGTATACCTGGCCGAAATATGCAGCCCTTGATACTTCAACGTAGGTTTTTTCTGCTAATATGGATGATGCGTAACTGTAGCTAGAGATTTTTTTGTTTATTTTCTCAACATGAGATTTCCAATTTAAATGACAGTCTATGGTGACGCCAAGAAATTTAATGTTATTAACTATTTCTATTTGAGTTTCTTTATCTGCTATATTTAAATTTAAAGAATTTGTTTTGTAATTTCTGAATTGAATTATTTTAGTTTTTGTTAGATTAACGTTTAAATTAATTTGTTTAAGCCATTCAACTGTTATTTTTAAAGTTTTATTTATATTATTTTCAAAATTCATTTGAGTATCAGGTATAAAGATTGTTGCATCATCAGCGAACATAACACATCTATTGTCAGTGATATTTGGCAAGTCATTCACATAAATTAAGAATAACAAAGGGCCCAAAATACTTCCTTGTGGCAAGCCTAGAGTCATTTTAACTGGCTCGGACCGTACTTCTTCAAAAGTTTTACAAACTTCAATTTCAAATTTTTCAATTGCAGTTATTTGCACTCTATCTTTTAAATAGCTTTTTATAGTTCCAATGTAAAGCCACGTACACCTAATCTGTCAAGTTTATTTAATAGTATATCATATATGACACAGTCAAATGCCCTTGACATATCTAAAAACAAACCTACACAAGAAGTTTTATTATTTAATGATTCCCAAATTTCCTTGAGTATTTCATAGATCGCAAGTGTAGCGGATTTATTTCTCTGAAAGCCATATTGATTTTTACTTATTATACTATATTTATTGAAAAACTCTATAAGTCTATTGTAGATGACTCTTTCAAATATTTTCGAGAAGTTAGATAAAAGAGCTATGGGCCTATAGTCTTTGACATTACATTTTGAACCTTTTTTGAACAAGGGTTTTATTTTTGCAGTTTTTAATTCATCTGGGAAGGTACCAGTTTCTATCATAAAGTTCAATAAACAAACAAGAGGCTCATTAATACACTCTATAGATTTTTTAATAATTTTGATCGATATGTCGTCGTCGCCGCAACTTTTTTTTATTTTAAAGGTTCATTATTGTTTTTTCCAATTCATTTCCATCAACGGGTGATAAATATAAGCTATTTATATGTGTAGAAGGTAGATAGTAGGTATCTGTAGCTTGTGTTTGAGCGTTGATGGTAGCAAAATGAGTGTTAAATACTTCAGCTATAGAACTTGCATCCGTGATATTATTATTATCAATAGTCACATTTTTAATGGTTGTTTTGAATATGTTTTGTGAAGTGGTCTGCTTTTTTATTAAATGCCATGTAGCTTTATTTTTGTTGTTACTATTTTTAATGAATTTTATGTTTGATTTTTGTGTTGCTAAACGTGTAACGGATTTTAAAATTTTGCAGTATTTCTTATAATACGGTATTAATTCCTGTTTCTTATATTTAAATATTTTTTGATGTAACTTTCTTTTAGTTTTGCATGCTCTTTTAATGCTAACTGTCTGCCAAATTGATTTTTTCTTGAATGAGATTCTAACCTTTTCTACGGGTATACAAAGATCGTATATTAATTTGAATAAGCTAATGAAACTATTATACGCCTGATTGACATCACGATACGAGAAAACTTCAGAAAAACTTAATTGAGAGAGATATTTTAAAAAGATATTTAAATACTTATTTTCATTTCTTCTATGTACATACCAATATTTTTCAATATAACCTTGATTACATGGTACGTTTATGTATTGTGCAGAGTGATCGGATAAGCCTAAATGTAAAACTTTTGAGCTGTAATCTTTTATATTTGTTATAATATTGTCTATGCAAGTTTTCGATTTTGTTGTTATCCTAGTTGGGTCATTTATTGTTAGTTTTAAGTTATATTTTAATACAGTATTTTTAAAAAGTGAACATTTAAGATTATTTTCAAGTAAATTGATATTAAAGTCACCAGCTATTAATACTTTTTTAGTCATATATCTTGAACGTACAGTAATTCTATTAAAACAGTGCAATGTTTTTATAAATATTTCAAAACTTGAGTCTGGAGTTCTGTAACAGCAAACAATAATATAATTTAATTCTGGCAACAGTATACCACAACATTCAAGGTGTTTATCTAAGCTTAATTGATTTATACAGGGAAGTGAAATAAAATCTATACGATTTTAATATAAATACAGACCCCTCCTCTAGACTCGTTTCTACAATAAGAGTCAGCAACTTTATAGCCTGGAATTTGTAAAAATTTAACATCTTGGTTCTTTAAAAAAGTCTCAGTAATACACAAGACATCAATTTTTTCCATAGTTAATAGAACCTCTATCTGGCTGAGTTTAGATCTCATGCCCTGAATATTCTGGTGAAGTATATTAAGACCAGTTAGAACTGTTTCTGCTTGCATATTATTTAGTTTATTGTTAATATCCTGTGAAGGAACGAAAGGAGCGACAATATGTCAATCTTTCCTTCACCGGACTAACAGTACAAGAGGTACTTTTGAAAACAGTATATGTGTTTGACTGTTCTGTTGCAATATTTGACATTAATTTATTTAAGTCGTTCAAGATAATACGAACACCATTTATATTTATTTTGCCTGAGTACTTCGAAAACATAGTATATGAATATTCTAAATATTTGTTAGAGTCCAGTATACAGCAGTATTTGTGTACTTTATTATCTGAGTATAATAAATTAATGAATTGTTCAATTCTTTTATTGAAGAGATTAGAATTATAGCAATATTTATATGTCGGTAAACAAATAATAATGTTTGTGTGTTGTACAGCCAG